TTTCCTATTAACTCTTGGCCATAGTGTCTTAACGACCCCACAGTCTACACTATTAAGTCATACGTTATTTCTCCCCGAAATGGTGAATTCATCCATGAATTAATTTAAGCAAATATTTAATATTTTTTATGTTAAGAAAAAATAAAAATAAGTACTTATAAAGCAATTGCATTTCCTATCAGTAAAAAAAACTTTTCGCAAACCATAGAGCATAGTTTCAACTTTCATTTTGTAAATAATTAATTGTTTCGAATTGACAAATATAAACTTACGGTTTTCCATTAAAATTTAAACTCCAAATTTACTCCAATAACACATAAAACATGCATGTGAGTTTTTCTGCTAGAAGTCTGAATGAATAATACTCGCATAAATCATAACTGTGGACTGCTGGACTGCCGGACTAAATATCCTTTAAGCCGTTTTGTAAATAAATCAACATTAATTCGGAAGCTGGTTAAGCTATAAGTTGAAAGTATTTAAAAGTTTAATATTTTTTAGTAATTTTTTTTTTAGTGTACATAGGTAAAGCAAATTTTTCAAAATCATATTGGAAATCAAACACAAAAAAAATGTTTATATATTTTTTTATATATATATATATGTATACTATGTACGATATTTATTGTTTGAAAGTTCAACGCCGTTTTTTCAAAAATGGAAATATTTAAATTTTTACTTGGCAGATATCGTCGAGGGTGCACTGCGCAATGTCAATTTAATCATTGAACCACCTGCTGTGCGACGTGGGCAACATGCCATATTGCGGTGTCTCTACAATTTGGAAGGTGCGCCACTTTACTCTGCTAAATTCTATCGTGGTCAATTGGAGTTTTATCGTTACACACCTGGCGAGTTTCCGAATACAAAAGTTTTTCCATTTCCCGGCATACACGTTGATGTAAGTATATATATACATGTATATATGTTTGTATGTATATTTAGTAGTACGAGTAGATATGAGTAATTTGAATCCATGACTATTTATATGTATCTATGCAACTACTCCTATAAGCGCTTATACGAGTATCTTCCGCATATATGACTATGTTTGTATGTTTACTTTTCTGCATTAGTACGTTTTGCTTGTTTGTTGGCAGTTGGAAAATAAACAAAATTTATCACAAAATATATTATATAGCTTAAATTTTTAGTAAAAATTTTTTTTAAAAATAAAACCAAAAAATAAGAAACTTGTATTGAAAATTTGTAATATTCTTAGTTGCTGCCGCCAAAGGATTTTAATTTATGCAAGCCGCGCGTCAGAAAAAAAAACTAATAATAATGAAATGAACTAAAATAAAATAATTTTGCAAAAAGCCAAAAAACTAAAAAATAAATTTGAAAAAAAATTAATAAAAAATGCAGTCAGTATTTAAATTTTAGTTATAACGTCAACGTTAAAGGAGGCAGCAAATGTGCTCGTCCGGGCTCATTGGCTCACTGCGTCGTTGGGAAGGAGTTGTATAATTTTTTGCTATGTAAACTTTTATAGAGAATTAGTGCACTTCCTCAGTGTTGGCAAACTTAAAATTAAGAGCAGTCTTCCGACCATACCGAGCGTTTCGCCCACATTCTGCGGTTATTTATTTACATTTTTATGCATATTCAATGGCGCTCTCATTATTGCTTTTACCGGTATTTTATGGAACTTTAGATTGCAATAGTTTTGCACCTTATTCTCATTTTATTTGGGCCTGATTGTCATCCGTTTTCGCCCCGTTTTCTGCAGAGTTCCAGGTTGTTTCATTTTGTATTTCTTCTTCTAGTTGCTTTTGTAATCATTATTGAAAAGGCATGAGAGACCCACGCCATTACTTTTTGAAGCCCGCACACAAAGTTTTCATTTGAAATTTGCCCGCAGCTCGAGCATTACTAGTATTAAATATTTTTAGTCCATCGTCAACTCAACTTTACTTTTTAGATTATTGAAAAAGTTTCTCCTGCTGTTGCACCTGAAATTTGCATGCCTCCGTCTGTCCAAGTTGCAAATTTTTTATATAGTATAGACGAGAGTATCTATAAATTTAGTGCGGTTTTATGGAATTTTTCCATCCAAAAAAAAGATTTAATTTTTTCTTTTTGCTTTTATTTTTATATTAAGTTAGTGCGGTTTTGTTAGTATTTCTCATTGTGAATTGAAGTTATTATGCAGACGATGAACAGGTTGGCGGTAAATATAATTTTTTGCGGTTGACTATTTTCAGTTTCATTTTCGTACTTCATTTTATTTAATATTTTTTTTTTGTTTAATTTCTCTGTATAAACAAAAAAGTTTTATTTATTTTTGGTTTTAGTTATTTTTTTTTTTTTTGAGTTTTGAATTCACCAACTCTTTTGCGGTTTAAGGTGATTTAATAAACTTAAGTGCATTTGTGAGTAGTAACAGCTTTGGAGGTCCTGCGACGTAAATCGGAAATTTGATTTAAAATTAGTTTAGTTGAGTTGAAACCATTAAGCATTTGCCACTCTGCAGGATCAGCCCAACGAATACGGAAGATGTAGGAAGTATCTAAGCGAAATGAGTTTCCGCAATTTAATCTCGTAATGAGAATAGTGATTTTTTCTATGAAGCAGGAAGCTCCATAATTCAAAGTAAATTGGTTAAATATTATTTATTAGAGCATAACTGCTTTTCTGCAAATCAGAGTTCGATTTAGTACTCGATATGCAAATATTATTAAACTTAAACAGAATATTTCTTACAGAAACCAATAAAATAAGGAAAAATAGTTCCTAGGTAAAATAGAAAAAAACTTATACATGAAGTATATAAATTCTAAAAAAGGAGACATAATTAATATGGATAAAATAAAATAAAATTTTAAATTTTGACTCAAAATATATTCAAAACTGAGGTAAATTCAATAGCTGAATAAATACTTAATATATATCTCTGAATAGCTATTGAATATTACATACTTATTCATTTGTGAGGTAACATTATAATTAATATCAATGTTAACTAAGAATAAGAAACTGGACTGCTCGGTCCTTCTCCCTAAATATTAAATATATTTCATAAAGTCAAGAGATTATCGAATTGTTTAAGAAAAAAGATATATTCTTAAAGCTTTTTGTTGTTGTATATTCTCGCATTTATCTGTCCTAATTTCATTAACCATTTCAAATAAAGGATTGTTTTAAGATTTTATTCATCAACAGGGGATAATGTCACATAGTATAAGGAGAACACTCTTCAATATTAGTAGACTGTTTCGAGGTTATTCAAAAAATTTATTAAAGTCTGATACCGCCACATAATCTCAAGATAATATTTTAGCGTTCGATTAAAATTTTTAATCTAAAAGACAGAAGCTGGTCATTAGAGTTTAGATCTAAATGTGGTGTATGAACGTGTGCTTGAACTATGGCGAATTATAATTATTAAAAATAGAATAAAATAAATGATTAAATTATATAAATATTTACAACTATTTAGCTTATGAAATTATTAATTATAAAATAAATAAAATAAAAAAAAATAAAACTACATTATATGGAATAAAATAAATTAAAATTATGTAAATATAAATTAAAATAAGATAAAATAAAATGATATTTAAATACAAACAAAAAACAAAATAAAATTATTTAAAATAAAATAAGTTGAAGTAATATATAATTAAATTAAAAATGTTGAAATAATATAGCAAAAAAAAAGAAATAAAATAAATGCAAATTAAAATAAAATAAAATAAATTATATAAAATAAAACAAAATAATATAAAATAGAATGAAAATAATAAACTTAAATACGCAACGAATTAAAATAAAATAATATATAATAAAATAATATTAAATTAAGACTGATTTAAATAAAATAATATGTTATAAAATATAATATAGTATATAATTCAAATTAAATATGATAAATTAAATTCAAATCTTATAAATTAAAATAAAAAATATATAAAATAATATGAATAATATAAACAAAATATAAAATAAAATAAAAATAATAAACTGAAATATGTAACAGATTAAATTAAAATAATATAAAAAAAATAAAATTAAATAAAATTAAATTAAGATTAATTAAAAAATAATAATATGTTATAAAATATAATGTAATATAAAATATAATATATAATACAAAATTAATATGACAAATTAAAATCAAATCTTTCAATTAGAATAAAATAATACAAAATAAAATGAGAAAAAAAAAACAAAACATAAAATATAAAATAAAATAAATACAATGCACTGAAATATATAACAAATTAAAATAAAATAATATAAAATAAAATAAAATTAAATTATGATTGATTGAAATAAGATAATATGTTATAAAATATAATGTAATATATTCTATAATATTTATATTTGTATTATAAATATGATAAGTTAAAATCAAATCTACAAATTAAAAGAAAATAATATATAAGAAAAGAAAAAAAAATAAATAAATAAAACCAAATATAATAAAAAAAAATAAATATTAAAAAATAATTTTATAGAATAAAAATATAACAAAATAAATTCAAAATTAAAATAATTAGATAATAGATATACAAAAATAAAATAAAATAACTAGAAATAAAATAATATGAAATAAAATTAACTTAAATTAAAATTAGCTTAATCATATTACATTAACGTACATTAAATTTAATAAAAATAAAATAAACTAATTAAAATAAAGTAATTTCATATTATATAACATAGTATAATATAATACAAAACAATATAATTTAAAATAAATCATTATAAAATTTAACAAAATAAAATTGAATCAAATCAAAATGGATTAAAATAATATAATATAAAATTTAATAAAGGAACATGAAATAAAATAAAATAATAAGAATTAAGTAAACATTGTAAACATTTCATTAATGAAATAAAACAAATGAAATTAAAATATTATTAAATAAGATGAAAAATAAAATAAAACATAATACATTAAAAAAAATATTAAAATCAAATATAACAATTTTTTTGCTCCTTCAATATGAATTACGCTTTAAACCTATTTTATGAAATTAAAAACTTATAGTTAACGTTCAGTAATTTTTTTAAATTAAATTAAAATTAAAATAATTTAAACTAACTTTTTACTGACAGGTGACCAGTTCGAATGCGACACAAGTGCTAATTCGAAATGTGGGTTTCGGTTTGTCCGGAAACTTCTCTTGCGAAGTAACTGCAGATGCGCCCCTGTTTTCGACCGCATATGCAGCTGCCATGATGCAGGTTGTGGGTAAGTATTAAACGCTGCAATTATTATTTAATATAATATATAGTAAAAAAAGTTTATTTACATAAAAAAATGCAAAAATAAAGTAAATTAAAAGCTTCTCAATTATTAAGGATAACAGGACAGTAAATTGATTACTTATGGCAATTTACACGACGCATAAAAAATTATTAAATTTCAAAAAAAAAAAAATATAAAAACCAAAAAGGACATTGCAAATTGAAGTCGACAACAACAACAACAACAACACAAGGACATTTACGGCGTAAAGCTTTAACATTGTGCTAAGCACTCGGTTTATGTACCTTTAAAATGTGATATTCAGAATTACTTGCTAGCCACATTATGTGGAAGATTTCTTTTAGACGGCAAGGAGCAAAATTTTGCATTATCCTGACTACAGGTAGAGCAATTGAAGGCAAGTGAGCTTAAAAAAACTAAAAAAATGTTTTCATTGATAATTCATGCTGTGCCATGATTAAGTAAACAGCAACATCAAAGCAACAACAAAGCAGGGTATCTCTGCCCTAATCCTCTTCCGTAACAGACTTGGCAACAGATACAAAGACTAAGGAAGCGTTTTCCGTACTTCGGTGTTGTGTTTTAAAAAAGCTGCCACTTATTTTGCCCACTTCAGAAATAAGATTTCTTTTTTTTATTTTTCTGAAATCGCTCCGACTCTAATCGTAAGTGCATAACTACCTGTGGAGAGAATGGCAAATTCTTTTTACCTTTTTTGTTTTGGTTTCTTTTTTTTCTTGACTTATTTAATAATTTACATTTTTGTAATTTGGTATTTCATTTCATTTTATCTTTAAAGTTAAGTAAAATTTAACGCAAATCGTTAACACACCGCACCATATCAAGCCAAGTCGGATAGTCAGAGCTGCCTCCGACGCCTGATGTTCAGTGTTGGCATTTAAATGTTGTTGTTGTTGGTGTTGTTGCCAATGTGTTGGCGATGAACATGATGATGATGATGTTGCTAAAGTGAAAAGTCGCAAAAGATTTTGTTGAGAAATTGTGAAAATTTTGCCATTAACAGGTCATTGCGTATCTCATAGATAAACGTTTCGAGTGAGGCGTATCCTGCCCTGCACTCGCAGTCAGTTTCTGTGCGTCACAGTTACTTTACTTCACTTTACAGCGATTACGGAAATATTTTACGCACTCATAAGTTTTAGGTGAAAAAGCAAATAATTTAAACATAATTTCAACTAAACTGGGCCAGATCAGAGAGCAGAGGGTAGATTTATATTATAAACTAGCGGATGTGCTGTGTTTAATTTTCAAATAAGGTCAGTTTGGGGTTGGAGTTTAATATTAAAATTAAAACTGTTTCGTAAACTAAAGTGAAGAGAAGGGATATAGTTAAGCAAGTTTTAATTCATTTTGTAAAAACATCGCTAAAACATGCTTTGTAATTACAATTTTTTAATAAATTCTGAAAAAAAATTTACCACATAACATAACTAAAAGGAACTATAATAAGCCAGACTAAGGAAATAATAATAATAAAAATATACAAAAATTAATTAAACGTTAAGATAAGTTATGTAGAGATTCTTTATAAAATATATTACTTAATAAGAATGTGATTGATTACCAAAAATTTCTATATTGTTCTTACGATTCCACAATTCTTAATATTAGCTTGAAGTAACCTTCAGTATTCTTTAGTACATTAAATCACCCACAGTCCTTAATTCAGTCCTGTTTTGAGTACTATCAGAATGATATTTTACCTATGCCAAAAATAGCACACAGCAAATCAACATTATTATTATCATAGCTGAACCGTTCATTTAGAACCTAACTTTATTTTACAACCCCTTTCATTGTTCCCTGTATTTTTGCTTTGGCTCTCGGGTGACTGATATTCATTTCTTTGAGATTCTTCAATACACTGTCACCACATTATTTCTTCGACATGTCACGTTTTTTGTTATTTCTTGCACCGATGTATATTGTATGTGTATTTTATATTGTAAAATCTCCATGTTTCACATAAATAAGTTCTTACTGGGTGTATTATAGTTTTGGTTTTTTCTATTATAGGTATGACGTAGTTGCATCATCAGCTCTTAGTTTTAAAGCGTATTCAAAATGAAGGCTTGTGCTTACGGCCATACGTGCAGCCTTAACCTCATCAGTCCTACTGTAACGAATATTTACTATAACTCTTCAATTCTCAATGTTGACAAAAAACCTTATTTGAATTTTCTATCCATAGATACTTGACTATTAGGAGGTTCCTCATTAGGTAAGAGTGTGGGGAGTGGAGTTTTTTAGCTACTTCAAAGTGCTTAAGCTTAATGTAATTTTAGATTAGTTTAAACTAATTTTTTTAGGACGATTTTAGACTGCTACACATCCCTGTATGAGATGTCGAAATAGTTTAACATTTCCTTACTGTTAGGTTTCGGTTTTAGGGATGTTGTCGGTAATTGCAGACATACGAGCAGAGTAGATGAAGTGCTTTAGTTACTCATTTTCAACATATGAAAGATCTGGGCATATCGCTGGCAGCATGCACACAGGTGTTGAAATCTTTCTGTTTTGAGCAATTTAATATAAGGTGGGAAGACTCAACTTATGTAAAGTTCTGTTGAAAGTACACCGCGCTTTGAGATGGCCTGTAAAGATATCAATCTTATAGTATGTTTATTCACGGTTTACTGCCATTTAGGAGAGCGTAAAGGAGTTTAAATCTCGTGTTTAATCATTCATATAATAGTTGTGGAGAAGACAATTGAATTTCTTCCCATCTGCTTTGTAACTGTCTAGCGGATGTATGATGACCACTCACTCTGCTATGGGTTGTTTACTTTTTTGATAATCTGAGTCAGCTTCTGGACCTCTTTAGGAAGCAAGTCAACTCACTTGAGTTCTTATACAATAACACAATAGTCTAACAGTCCCAACTGAATCCTTACAATTGCTGATATAATTTAACGTAAAGGATTGGAACTTTTTTAATCTGTTGTGGAACCTATTTTTAGCTTGTTTACGTTGAAATTTGTTTCATTTGATATAAAATTTCTTTAAATTTATTATACTAGAATTTTGCTTTAAATTTTTGTTGATTTAAAGTAGAAATTGGTATTATACATCATACCTAAAAAAACCTGCTTTAATTCTATAAGGTAAATATAATACAAATATATTTTAAAAAGTTTTGAAAAACTTTAAAATATCTTAAATAATTTCTGTTGTTAATTTTTATAAAAGAAATTTTAAAAAATTTAAATTTTCTCATAATCGTAGCTTCACTTAATTTACCCTGAAATTTCATGATGCAAATACTGCAACGCTTCATTTGCATCTCATGCTATTGGCATGTATCAAGGCGACTTTTTTAAAATTCGTTTGGAAAAATTTAAATACAGAAAGTTTGAAGTATGCCAAAAGCTGAGAAAAAGAAAAATAACAAAACTGCAACGAAATTCTCGCATAATGCCATTTTCCAATTTTTCGACTCCTAGATTATTTCCATATATCCAAACATGTTCAATAGTGGCGACATGACGCTTGGCTACTTTGGCATTATGCAAAATAAGATACTCGAGGAGACAAAAGCAAATAGCTTCGAGGACTTAGTAATATTTTGTGAACTGCAAAAACAGTCGTAGTGTAAAAAAATTTCAGTTACTCTTCCATATCAACAGAAAGTTTTATTTTCTATTGATTTTATTAAAATGATACGGAAAGAAAAACACTGTTGCATATGTTAATATCCTTGTGACTAGTTTTAAGGATCGGGTTAGAGGAGTAAAAAGTTTTGCTCAATATGAGTACATAGCAATATTACCTTGAGATATTTATGATATTTTTGGAATTTTAATACACCCTTCGGTAAATATTTTTTTAGAATTCTTAAAATATTTTCACAACATTTTGAATATCAAGTGATAGTCAATAAAGAAAATGTTTGTTTATATAAATTCCTTGGAAAAGGTTGAGGTTAAAAACTGTGAATAAATAATTGATAAAGAAAAGCTTTTAACGATATAACGAATATTTTTTGCAATTACCCTTGCCCAACCTATGCTATGAATTTATCTATTCAAGATAGACAACGATTAAGCTACTATCTGTAGAGACAGCTGAAAGATAAAGACAAGAATGAGGGCGGGCTTATATTAGATGCAGAAGCAGATAACATACTCATACCTTCTTCCTGACATTTGACGCGTACTTTATGCTGACATACAGACTAGTACTATTTTGTATAAATCGACCTTCGAATAGCACTATAGTGGTTTGTAGAGAAGCAAGCAAGCAGCAAGCAGCAGTGAAGGCAATTTAATCCAGAATGGTCAAATTTAGAATCATATTATATATATATATATGCATGTAAACAACACTAAAGATATTTTATACCCACAATGATCAAGTCAAGAATGGTAATATGAGTGTATAAACTATCAACCAGCAATGAAGACTCTTAATTCCGAAATGGTTATGGTTAAATGAAGAAAAGTAATATAGGTATAATAACTATGCAGCAGTAGTATTTCAGCAGACATATTTAGGATCACACTTTCATGATCTAAACATGTTCGTACTGTTTAAAGTCTTATATTTTCACCATTGTGGCGATATGACTTTAAGAATAGGTGTGAAGATTGTGAGGTTAATATAACTTCTTAGCCTGTATTTAATGAAAAAATCAAGACAGAAGTTTTTGATTCCTTCTATCTTGTGTGAACTGCTTAGGTTCTTACATCATGACTTATCATGACATTATTTAAAGACTATTTATAAAGGTATTTAATAGATAAACTAATAAAGATCTTTTGAGTTTGGACAAATCTGCCATTTGTGTAATAACAGAGCATTAAATTATTGCATCGATGCATCTGCAGTGAAATGTTCCGAAACGAAAATATCGCTTTGCAGATCAACCTTTTGTAGGGTTATTATTTGTATTGAAATGGATTAATCTATCAATTACTATTTATGTCTTTGGCATAAATACAGAAAAAGTGATTCCTAAGTCTAGTTCCTGAACTAAGATTTTAAACAGATAAAAGATGCGGGAAATATACATCAGATCTTCTTAATTGTGTCTGGGACCAAATTGTTTATCAGGGTACAAATAAATTTATATAAGAAAGAATAGGTAGTGCAGCTTGCCTCTACTGAAAAACTTGTGGGCAATATACTTGACAGTAAATGTGTTCGAGTGGAGGAATTTATATCTGATTTGCTCATTTAAACGACAAATGTTATGCTAAGCTTATGGTTTTGTTTAGGTGATTGGTCACTACTTCAATTCTTTATTTACCATTAATATTAATATGGTCAATTGCTCTTATATAGTCAGCTTTCATATATATCACTTATACTACTTATTCTTTAATATATATTTTTTTAACGGTACTGATAGTATCATTAGATTGGTTTGCTTTGATTAGTAGAAACAAAAAAAATAACTTTGGTTAAACGAAATCGGTTAGTATAATTTTGTTCTCATTAGTTTCGGACAAATTAATTTTAACAAAATGAAAATGAATGTGTATATAAGTTATAGAATTATATGCTGCTTTTGATTTTGACTAAAATTCTAATTACAATTTAAAAATATACTTCCTAAAGTTATACAAAGTATTTCCAAAAATTACTACATATTTAGAAAACCATCGAACCATGCTCAAGGCTGAACTGTTATATTAGCAAATTCGATAGAAATTTTTTAGCCAGGTTTTAAGCCAAGCTTAATATATTGCACTCATATATCGATATAGATCTATTTTTTTTAAGGAGATTTCTTTTAAGCTAGAGATCACGACTTTCTTCGGCTGTATTCAATCTTCCCCTTCGTCTGGAATAACAGCCTTTTCTTCCCAAGAATCTACGTCTTCATTCGTTGGATCGGGTCTTATTCCTGTATTAAGATTAGGTTGAGGTCCTGGCGAACGATACTGTTGTGCAGTTCGTTGTTGCTTCTGTGGTGGCGCTTGCGGAAGTGCTATGCGCACTTCAAGCCGGGAACTTACTGCTTGGATTACTGCTGGCTTCACTTGCTTTGGCTGTTGCGTTCGCTGCTCCTCTTCAATCTAATTATCCAAATATTTGACACTCATTTAATAAAAGAAAATTTAATAAGTCAAGTTTCAACTTACAGATGAGAAAATAAAGTATGCTATAATATTAGATATCACTAGTACAACAACAAAGCGTAACACTATTCTAATAAGTCCATAACCAATTCGAAGTACTAACATAAGCAACCAAAGAAAAGCTTTTTGTATATGGCATATCAGTGGTGGATAACAACGTGCTTTCTCAGCTTCTCCCATTTGTGAGTACTTTTCTTGGCGCCTGAGCTTATGAATTACTAAAACTTTTATATTAAAGCTAGCTACATACTTTCTGAAACGAAATTAAAAATTTTTTAATATCTGTTTTTATTTTATTGACTTTTTCTTATATTATTTCAAAATATTGAAAACAAAATACAAGCAATTCATATTAAAAAAATGTTACTTCAATATCAAAGTTAAGCACAATGCACGATTGAACTATATTCGCTTAAACTATAGTCGCCCAACTATATGGAATAAATAGGCCAGCGACCGCAGCTGGTAGTACTCCGGAAATACATTTCCTTTTCATATTAACATTAAAAAGACTAGATTAATGAAACGTGTCTATTCCCATTGTACATCAAATAAACTTATATTCTATAGACAATATATAGACAATATTAAAAAATAAAATAACCGAGTTTATAGACACTGATTATCATCGAAGAAAGTCAAACAAGAACTTAAGCGTTATATATATGTAATATTAATAGGTAAACTGAACGTCGTAATTATTGGAAAATCTCTCCGTTTGCAGAAAAAGAAATGTTTGTTTCACCAGGATCATATATCGGCTAAAAGTTTGGCAATCACTATGGATAATCTATATGCAGTGTAAAAACACATTTGATTGGCTTTCTAATTTTAAAAAATTTTTTTGCATCACCACGATCTCACATCGGAGATAAGTTGTTTAATGTGGATCATTTTGAAAATTTCTTCCAAAACTTTCAAATATATTTGCCTATGTTAGATTAGGTAAGATTGAAAGTGTGTGTGCTGATATAACTGTCAGCATCTTTACTCGAAGACATCTATTGCCCATTATGATGCATTCAAAGTTGCTTCTGAGAGCTGAGTAATACGAAGTATTATTACCTACTGATATTATCCATGTTAAACCATTTGATACTCTAGATAAAGCTGGGTAAATTGGACAAATCTACTCTTGTTATGTCTATTAGATTAATGAAGAAATGATTTTTTAGACACTGAAATCACTTCGTCAGTAGTTTTGAAAAATAACATAGAAAGTGAATAATGAAATCTATTTAGTCTTCATCGTTGCACCACCTTCACGGTAGAATTCTGTGAAAAAATACTGGGGTATGATACTGGGGTATGAAAAAATACTCAATTTCACTGTCTTATATTCAATTGTAACATATTCACGTCTGCTTAATAAAGTGATATTCGAAGGATGAATAGTACTAGTTTGAATTTGCAGGGCTATCTCTCGTGTAAATATTCGTTCTCGTTCCGCTTCCCATTTTTGAGTCACACGTTCAGATGGTAACTTCTAAGTTTACTTTCATGGATCATAACTAACAGATTTAGCAATTCGGTTTGACAAAGACCTGTCATATTTCACTATCTCCTTTAATTAAAAATATATAGATACGTTGTTCATAGAGGTTGAATATATTCAAAATTGGTAGATATATTGACGGATCGAAATTTTGACTACATTGTCAAAAGTGAATTATTGGAATTTTTGTTGTACTATTGATAAATATACGGTGCTTTGCGTAACATTATTATAATATTAACAAAACTAAATAATTATATATTAATTCGATAAATTATTTATAAATTTTAATCATTATAATGATTAATTTTTATATTAAAAATTAATAATATTAATTTATATTTTAAATAATTGTTTGCTAAAAAATTATATATTTATAAAAAAATTATTAAAAAAAAAATAATAAATACTTTTCAGTTATTCAACTGTCAATATATTTAGCAATTTTTGATCCATGAATTTATATTGTAGCTGAAATATTGTGAACAATATGAAATATGAATGTAAATATAGTCAGTTGTAATACCTCATTTTTTTCAAAAAGGGAGTATCAGTAGAAAGTTTTCTTTTTCTAGAAAGGTCGTGCCTATTGTACCAGTAGTGATATTTCGAATATATTACTGTCATTATTAAAAAGTGGTTATTACTTTACGAGGAATTCAATTCTGATACAAGTTGTTAAGTTCATACAAAAATGGATGTAATATGCGATAATTAAATAATCAAAAATCCAGAATCCATATTTTGCTAACAGGACTTTTTAAATAGATATATCCTTAAAATTCATATTAACGTAATTAATTTTATTTAAAACTTTAAAGATTTTCTGAATAATACTTAAACATTCCAAATATATGTGAAAGCATAACTTTTACAAAAACTACACAAACAATATTGTATTAAATAAAATTAAAAAAAAAAATAATTACTAAACATTTAAAAATAAGCTATATAGAAAGCCATATAGCGGTTTTCTGCATAATTATTATGTACGTAATTTATTCGAAATCCGATTACTTGATTTAGGCTGTGAGCTAAACTCTGGTTTATAAACATTTGCTTTAAGTAACAATTCTTTTTGGAACTCCGATAGAAGTGTATCATTTTTGTCGAATAACTTTAGGTAAAGTCCCAGACAAGTTGGATCCGAATTTCTTCTTTGCGAGAGCAGTGACAATAGACTTGACTCATTTTTCTCTTTTGGTAATTGTGCTTTCTTAAGTTTCTTTGTGACTTCCGGTTTGGGGCTCTCTGGTAAACGACCTTCCCACTTATTTTAGAGATTTTAAATAAATATATTTTAATTTATTGCCTATTTTAAATTTTTTGCGAATCACTTACTTTGCAAATTATGAACTCCTCAAATGTCTTATAAGCTTGAAATAATGGCGTGCTCTTCAGATACATAATTGTGCTTTTCAAACAATAATTCCAAATCGCTGAGAATGTATTGCAAATGTATTTAAATTCGTTTTTGAAGTTAGGTTGCGGAGAATCCCAATCATATTCCTCCATTTTGTCCTAAAAATAGTTTAAGTGGTGAAAACGAGTTGAATATAATTTGTGAGCTAAATTTTTTGTTTTTCCTTCTTTTAAAAGATATATTTAATAAAATGTTTTGAAAGGTATTGCATGGTGATATTAAACAATGATATTTATATAATTTTTGGATTTTGTCACTTTTCCCTTACTTTATCTCATTTTATCTTAACGCTTAAGATAAAGTAAGATGTTTCCTGTTTGTCTTCAAGTAGGCGGCTATAGATATAATGAACATAATACAGTGATTAAAGTCTCGGTGAAATTAAAATGATAAGTATGCTTGGTATGATCTATGATAGGTACCATAGATCTGTGAAGTGACCATCTACACAGTTGGCTAAAAAATGTAGAGTGTATAGTTTGTTACATGTAACTCTGGAGTGATTATCTACACAGTTGGCTAAAAAATTGTAGAGTGAAACATTAGGTATATTTTCTGACAGATAACTCTGTAGTAAAAATCAGTACAGTTGGCTAAAAAGTGGAGCGTTGAACGAATAACACTACATCGAAAGTAGTGCTTATTTTATGTTGTTCTTTTGCGACATTCTTACAAAAGAAAACGCCTAATATAACTTATCACAAAATGTGAATCCTTATTTCTTACTGTTGAAAATATATGCCCACAGCGCACTTAGCGAATCTCGTTCAATAATATTGATTGCATCAACATTGGAAGTACAATTCCAGATACTTTGTTGAAATACTCTAACAATTCAGAGTTAACCTCATTCCGAAGCTAATCCACATCAAGCAACTTTAGCCACCTAAGCCACTTCAAAATTTTCTGAGTTCTGCACGGAAAATTGTTAATTTTGTGCATTTGCCACTTGCAAGCAGCAAAAAATATTAAACAACAAAGTTTTTGAATAATCACAACACAGCAGTGCATTTCGAGTTTTTGCAAGCGAAGGAGAGGGGAGAGGACGCTAACGACTACAGGCTAAGTGACGCCAGCGACAATTGTGGGTTAAATCAAGCGTCAAGTGGCAATGATGACAACAACAATGAACATTGAGAACTAATAAACGCAACGCAATAACACGAAAATAAAAGCAAAAAGAAAGTAAAAATAAAAATCCTATGAGAACAATATAACATTGCATTATGCTATAGCAGAGTAGCAGAGAAGATGGAGTAGCGGGCATAGCGACAGTGACTGCAATATTAATAATAACAAAGCAGATACAAAGAAGTGTTGTTAGTTGAGTTTGGGTTACTGTGTCATTGTATTTGTAACATAGATGAACTAATAAAGTTAACGCTAACGTCAACGTCACCATCACCGTCGACGCAACGTTCTCTTCGTTATCTTTAAATGTATACGATGTGCCTTAGCGTATTTACAAAACCTTAACGACGCTAATAACAACGTATAACTTAACTGAAGTGAAATCAAAAGTAGCGACATTATTAGGCAGCATTTACGACTGTTGTTATAGTGAATTTTAGGAGAACTGAGCCGCAGCGGATTCGAAGGCAGCCAGTATTAATCTTTATTTTCGTTTGTCACTAAATAAGGCAAAATATTTACTGTTCTGACAGCGTATTCGATTCGCGTTGCTACGATTTCAGAATTCTCTGACTTAAGTGGTTGATTGTGCTTTATGTAGAGGTGGTATTTATGTGTATGTGTTCGAGTGCGTTAGTGTGTCAGTATTTGTATGTGTATATTTAGCGTAAGAATAAACTTAAACGGATTTATTCGTGACATTTACTTTGCTCTGCCAGTTAATTTTGCAACTAAGAATAGATTTGCTCGTTACGAGGCCTAAGGTTTCACTGTTTTAACTGTTGTGGCAAAGCAGTCACAGCAATAACAACAACAATATCGCTTAAATAAAAGCAACAACAAAAATAGACGCTTCAGTTGAACTGGTAATTATTGTGTTGCTTGTGTTTGCGTATCCTTTTGTTTTATGAAGTGGGATTTTCTTGTAAATTAATTTATTTTTTGGTAGGATTTGTTCTTTGTCTTGAAATTCTTTTTATTCTTTCCTTCTTCTTCCGCTTTGAGTGTCAGTTAAAGATGTTTTTTTTGTTGGCATATAAATTAAATTCCCTTTGTGCTTGTACATAAAATGTTATTTAAAATAATTTAAATTTATCGTTTTGCATGTTATGAAATGAAAATAATAAAGAAAAAAATTTTTTTTTAACACAAGACACTTTAATATCAGTGGAACTGAGAATTTTGGGAATGAAGTGCAAAATTAATGAAAAACTAAAATTAATTTTTTTTTGCCTTAATAACTACTGAGATTTTGTGCTCTAGAGCGGGGCTGTACAAAGCACGGCCAAATGTGGCCCGCGGCTAATGTTTATGCGGTCCGCGACATTTTTCTAATCCTCTAAAATTTTGTTTCGGTGTACTTTGGTAAAATTAAATTATTTTATTTTTATGGTATGCCAAAGAAATGAATTTAAATTAATAAATTAATAAAGCTAAATTTAATATTATTTAACAGTATTCTATGATACAACTATGAACTTATGTATATGTTCTGCGGCCCTCTAGTCTGTATAGTGATTTTTATTGGCCCGCGATCACTTCTGTTCTGGACAGCCCTGCTCTAGAGCAAAGTAAAAAATTTTGTATTACATAGTTTCATATAAAAGTGGTGTAGTTTCATATAAAAGGGTTTGAAGCAAACTTATATACTCTGGTTTTCTATTATAAATAGATTAAAATTTTTGAATTATAGATTAAATTAATAATTAAAGTTTAAAATTTTTTTAACAAATTAACTATACTACAAAGAAATTATAAATTTTTGTATTAAAGATTAATTAATAATTAAAGTTTAAAATTTTTATAGAAAATTCACTATTAAATTTCGAATGATATATTTATTATTATATTTTTTTGTAAATTTTTTTTATAACAAATAGAATTATATTAGATACAATATCTAGCTAAGTGCTCAACACAAAATTAAAAAATTAAAGAAAACCGCATAAGCATAAGTAGCAACCGAAAGTATATATACAAAGCTCCAAATAGAAAAAAATATATAAAAGAATACTGTACAAATTGTACACAACTAAAAACAACAACAAATAAATCAGATTTAACACAACAACAACAACTCTTGTTATTCAAGAATGGCATGAGAGAGATTCAAGCCAAGAACATCTTCAGCAGACAATAAACCATATTTGTACAGTACGAAGTGTGAGATAAAGCACAATTATACACATATACTCACATGTACACACACAAACCTTGTGTTTTAATAAACATGTTGAGTAATTTTTCTATTCTTGTGCATTGTATGTTTGTGTGTAATAATGTGTCGGTTGTCTGTAGGTATTTATGTGTTGAATAGTATTTGCGTTCGGAATTTAAGCTATTTTAGTCTCTAGCGTAATTTCGTTCACCACTGAATTCCAACAACAACTTTTAGGCTTTACTTTCGAGTGCTGTAATCTCTAAAGACCCAATTGCTGAAATTCTAGCGCTATTTGCTCTTCTCATAGTACTGAATACAGATTTTTCTATGACCACACACATTCTCAATGTTGTTGTTGTTATCATTGTTTTTGTTCTTGTCTTTGTCTGGAGTTTACCAGTTTTGGTATTTTTTTGTTTTTGTTCTTGTCTGGCATATGTGATTCTGCAAGGCATCCAAGCTTAAGTGTTATTTTGCTGCTAGGATTCAAGGATATTTAATCAAAATGACTTGCTGCCGCAATATTAGTACCGCAATAAATTTGTGGCATTTAAGACAAAAATTAAAATGGCATTCAACAATGAAAGAACATGGCATCTTCAAAAATGAAGAATAATGGTCAGCGATTATGGGTTGGAAAGGGATCCCTTATGTAGTTATGTAGTTTCAGTTAATATATTAAATTTTTGTATGAGGATTGTAGCAAAAGAATTTAACTTTAAACTTAATTGCTTACAATATGACGAGTATTATAGTTTAGTTGATATAAAGTCTTAAAATTTACTAAAAGAAAATATTATGGTACAATTAGACAGTTTTACAGGCATTGGATCAGTCATATAATTCTGTGAAACCAGAACCTTGTTATGGTAGAAGTTCATAGACAAAAATAATCTGACAGAAAAGTTGTTTAAAACCGAAAGGTTTGCTCCTGGTAATCACCATTCTAATTGTCTAACCAATGAGCTGATTCTTCCGTATAAATATGGCAAACCGTCTATTCATTGAAGAACACACCCAAGACTCTTAGCAGGGTGTCACCGACTTATTAAACTGACCTCGTAATTTTTTTTAATTTTTTATTTAATAAAATGGCTATAATGGTAATTCAAATTTAATATAATATTTATATTCATGTATTAAAAATAAAATCATCTCTGATTTTCTTGATTATAAATTATAATTTTTTGCAAAGAAAATTGTCGTAAAAATTAAATTAAAATTAACACGCATAATGTGGCAACTTTCATTGAGGTTAAATCAGTTTAAAAGGATAAACAATAAATAAAAACTTCTGCGCTTAATTCGAGCGCATTCAACAAAAATAAAACATAAGAAACTTCTTGCATTATTCACTTCAACAAGACTAGAGCAAGGATAATATCTGCACATAGTTATGCTAATTCTCGATGCTGTGGTTTCACTATGTTTTCCTGCCAACAGCACAAAATAGTATCTGTCGGGTTGCGTTATTATTTGACTGGAGTCAGAAGGATAATGTGCACACAGAATGCAGAGCGCGGAAGTATATGAGTAAAGTTGGTGTTTGTTAGAGATATTAACTGTTAACATAAAAACAAAAGACATTTTGTTTTATGTAGTGGAAAATCAGCTAAAGATCTTAAGGTGAATTGTTATCAAAAATAAAGATACTTTTTATTAAAGTTTCAAATTTTATGCAAGAAAAGTAATCTTTTCATATTTTATTATTATTGTTTCTATTAATGAAGTCTTTATAGACAATATTTTGTGTTAATATATTCGATATTTTTTATAACAACTTTTTTAAATTTTTAAATTTATTTATGCAAAAGTTTTAATATCCTATTTATTTTTGTACTTAAGTATTGATTCGGTATACAGTATAATTAAATATATTTTAGGGAAATTTAATATAAATTTGTATTAATTTTTATCCTTTTCCAATTAATTATTATAATTTATTTAAATTATTCTCCTTGTTAATAGCAGCACTCTTAATAAAAGCATATAAATGGGAATAAATATTCGATATTACTATAAATACATATTTTTAAAGAATTCATATATATTTTACCACTATTATAAAATTTTAATTTATTTTAGTATACATTTTTTTTAATTACAAATATGAAATAAATGTAAGAGTATAAAGTTATTGAAATTCTCTCTCAAAAAGCGAAAGTTTAATTATTTTAAAAGTTTTCTATTAAAAGCAGATATAAAAAATTGTGAAAAAAAATTCCATAAATACGTTTATTTATTTTGAAATTAATTTTTAAGTGTAAATGGAAAATTAAAATAAATTAAAATTATAAGGCGTTGAAAGAGCAACAAAATATGAGTTTCAGTATTATTTCACGCGCACTTTATCCTGTAGTTCAATTTAAATTAATGGCAATCAAAACGAACTTTTGATGTGGGTTTATTTAATTTTATTTTTACTCCTTCCCAGAACAGTGTGAAAATTAGTGCGACTTCGCACACCACTGCGTATGCGTTACTTTTTTAATCACTTAATGCCATTAACTTGCACAGTCAAAAACCTCTTGTGGTCTGAAACAAAATTAAACTTGAAAGGTCAGCAGTGACCCTCATTACAGAAAAAGTGTTCATTTATTTCATATTTTAAATATTTTGAATTTTATTTAGTTTCTTTACAAGAGTGTGTATGCCTGTGTATGTATTATATTTCTCCTGAAGTAGAAGAAGAAGAAGGTCAACACAATTCAGTATAGGCTTAACCAATCTTCTAGTGAAAATGTGTTTTTAATTTGCATAAGCATCACGTAGCAACCTAGTAGCTAGTAAATACCAAGCACAAATCCTGTAGTTAGCTGTGGGTTGGAATGTACATACCCTCAGTTTGGATGCGATTGCACACTTCTATCAAAGTGGAATATCAAAGTTGTCTAACTTGCCTTTGTCATGGAAATTATTTTCTTCATTAGTTACTTTGTAGCTGGCTTGCTTGCAGTTGATGATGTAGCCATAGCCATTAAGAATGCCATTGCCATTGCCAGCACCAATGCCATTAGGGCTGATATTGCCTCTGCTGACTTTGTTGGTGACTTAATTAAAAAGTTGAGCTGACTTATAAAAATATTACACTACGCACACAATCTAAAACTTTTACTTAAGTAAAATGTTTTTTATTCTCCATATAATTCACTATATATATATATATATACATATGTACGTACATATATATAATTTTTTTTGTGTTTTAGCCACTTGGTTCAGTCATATAAATTTTTGGCTTCAAAGCAGAAGAACTTTTCGAAAAACTCATAAAATTAGCAAAAAAGCAACGAAGTTAAGACAAAATATTATATTTTTATGATGTATGCTCTCTCTGAGTGTCAAATTGAATACGTATAAATGTCTTAATATGTGCCAGTGGCAATAAGTTTCCACAGTATCTGCGTCAGCACATATGAAAGGAGACTGGGTATATAAAGTAATGTGAAATGTATTATATGGCGAAAGCTTATTTTAGAATGCAGTTGGGAAGACACAAGAAATTAAGAAATTATTATGTATACACACTGGCTAAATGAACACATAAATACTTGAAAGTGTCTTAAAAGACCATTCAAAAATATTAAAATAAAGGCTGCAGTGAAGTTTTTAAGTTGGAATTTTAGTTTTCAATGTGTATAGAGATAGTGTCTAGAGTACTGTAATAAAAACTACAATCAGGCAGAATGTGCAGTTTGTAATGAATAAACAAATGCGCTCTTACATAGACGAAATCCATAAAAGCTGTGTAGCTGTTTAAATAGGAACTGAATTCAAGTTTCAGTTTTAGCTAAAATATATAATTGCAAAAAATGAAATTTTAATGTGCAATTGGCATACATATTCAGCTATAGCTTAGGCTTTGGCTGAGATATATAACTACAATGTATATACTGATCCGCAGTTGGTATGTCGCACAATCAAAAAAGAACTCAAACCTAAAACTCTTGGTTGAGATATATAACTACATATAATGTATAAGAAATGATATATACAATGATGGGCACTAAATACTGATTTATTTAGTCTATTCTTTTGATTTATATGATTTTAATCATAGAATATTATTGCGGAATATTATTGCGATAATAACCTTAATGAAAGATTTGTTGCGACATTATGTTATACCTTAATATATACTAATTTACAATGAGATAACACCATAATGAAGCGTTTGCTGTGGAGTATTTACTACAATAAATAGTATTAATTAGATATGTTACTGATTAAAGAAGTCTGAAGGACTTGAAGAACTTAAAAAAAATATATGTACTATATAAAGTAAGGCATTGGGCAAACCTTGATATATATTTCCCTGCCAGTAACAGTAGATAGTTATCGAATTTCTTTAGGTGTACGTTGGTAAGTAGGTGTAAAATGTCGGTAAATTGTTTAATTAAACAAAGATCTGCACTTATCATGCATGCAGACTTGAAGTGTATTTCTTCGGAGAACTTTTGTTTTTAAATTATCTTTTATTAATAATTATATATATATGAACTCAATTCCCAAAACTAATATTTACAATGATGTGCATGCAGACATGGAGTCTATTTCTTTTGAAAGCCTTCAACTTCAAGCTATATTTTTCATAAGTATTTATATATATATGGACCAAATTTCCAAGGATAGTACTTGCAGTGTAATTTACTTACACACCAATAAGTATATTTTTCCGAAAGCTTTCAACTTCAAACTATACTTATCGTAAATATTTATATATAAATTAACTCAATTTGTAAGGATGCATAAGCATTGCAAAATAAATGCATATGTAAAGTAATGAATATGTAGGAATTATTGTTAAACCTAGCTGACTTTCTAAAGTTCGTTTAGTCTTAATCCATCTACGATTATTTATAGAAATAAATTGATATTATTGCTGTTGTTTTTATTATGACAGCATAATAAACTTTCTATTAAATATTGATAGCATTCATAATACCGTATTTCCTAAATAATATATAATTTCTTTTTTATTGCAGAGCTTCCTGATAAACGCCCCCAACTTTTTACGGAACACACGCGCTATGAGCCTGGAGATATTTTACGTGCCAACTGCAGCACTCTACCGTCACGGCCACGTGCAGAGCTTAAGTTTACAATTAACAATATGATGGTAAGTACCACAACAATATCTACAGAGAGAACCAACTATTCACATAAGAAGAATCTTATGTGAAACAATTATTTCATTGTGAAATAAAGAACTTTTAAACGGATTTGCTTAATTGCAACATTTTGGCTAAGTGAATGCAACTACTGAACACTGCCAGTCGCGTTACTGCAGCAAATTAACTCACTTTGCGGCACCTAACACAAAGGACGATGCGAGAGCACACCGCCGCACGGAGACAAATAAATGTGCCTCGTGCATTCCTTGCCAAAAGTGTGCCGACAAAAAGTGGAAAGGAATTTTTTTATCTTTGTTGGTTGGCAGGATAAGGAAGTAGCTGTAGATGATACTAGGTCAGATTTACTGTGCGCATAACTGCATAAATACATTTTTGTCATACTTCAACGTTTTTATTTTCTACTTTGCTTTCTTGCGAATTTGGTGGCAAAATTCCTTTTTCCTTTGATTTCAATGCAACGAATTTTTCGGTTTACGTGATTGTGTACAAGTTTAAGCCTGGCAGGCTTGACACAAAAAACCATTATTTTTCAATTTTTTCACAGCAAATATGCGACTTCAAAGGGAGTAGAAGTAGTCATATGAAATGGGCCGAGGTCAGTTTAGTAATAGATATTTTCTGCAGAAAGGAAAAACAATGCCTCTATTCAAATTAAATTTTAAGTAAGATGTGGGAGTTCTAACGAATAAATTCTATATCAGATTTTGATCAAAATCAAATTAACATAAATTTAAAATCCAACCTAATTGATTATGACCCATACGATTTTTTGACTTGATTAATATTCATATTATTACACTATTAAGGAGGAGAAATCTTCCGTTGTCCAAAAGAACTCGAA